TCGCCAACGCATCCTCTCGTTCCCCCTGGAAACTACCATCCGCGTCACTGCGAGGAGCGCTGCCGGAAGCATCGCTTGTATTGTCGTCCAGGCAGCTACTTCCTCCGAAGGCAACATCGTCCAGACCCGGGTGTCCCTCATCGGCCCACGCGGCCCTCGGGGTAGTTATTGCCGACATCGCACACGACATCCTCGCCGAGACTGTGTTGTCGTCGCCGTTGACGTCACCGCCACCCGCGTGGTGAGAGATGGGCGCAGGGGTCGTCCATGAGCGCTGCTGCTCATGCTGCTGCTGTTGAGGGGGGAGCGAGGCGACAACGAGATCCTCCTCCACCTGGTTGTTTCCTAGGCACCGCAAAAATGGGGCCGGGAGAGAAGGCGGGGCGGTGCTAGGGAGCGGGGAGTTACCCGGGTGAACGACGACGTCGGCGCGGTTTGCCAAGGGTAGTGTTGAAGGCGCTCTAGCCAAACCAATGCCGGCGGACGGCTCGCCTGACGCCAAGCTTGCTCTCTCTAGGCCCTGTGAGTACGAGTGTTCATCGGCAAACGTTTTGGATGAGGCAGCGAGGCAGGGAGGCAAGGTATATCGGGAAGCTCGGTGTATGGCGAGAAATAGCACTCCGGGGCCGCCTGTCGGCATGTTTGCAACACTATTCGGGTACAGCTTCAACGAGAGTTAACGATTGATGAGGATCGCGACTGGCAACAGCGCTCGCGCGGGGGCAACTTTACACTTCTTGAGCACATGTTCGCACCAACCAACACAACAGTTTTTCTCTGAAGTCGTCAGAACTGATCCTCAGCACCTATCCTCGACCCCGCGAGCGGTTTCTCGAATCACGGCCCCCGTCGTGCTCCTTCTCCATAAAGTCATCCTTACGCAAGAAGGTTTGCCACGAGCACCAACGCCAAACCACACCCCAAGCAGGCTCATCCATTTTCAGGGGATCTAACAAAGCGTTTTCCCCACCTCCACAATCTCCTCTTCGTCGTCGTGTCCAGCAGTAGCCAGTAGGAAGGGGTTGCCCTTGAGGTCGAAAGCCCTACCACCACCAGCCCCTAACCAGCTTACGAGCGGGTCCACGCGTGCCAAGAATTCCAGGTCCCAGGTCATCTTGAGGAGGTAGTTCGAGTTGTTCCAGATGTACGGCGGCGAGTGCTTGACGCCGCCGTTCAGGGCCTCGGCGGCGCACTGCTCGCATGGTCGCCCCAACGGGGTGTCGTCCGATTGGATCGCCATGTGCTTGCCGCAGGTGCGGGTAACGATGCTGATTCGTTTGTTGTGAAAGTCCGCCCAGGAGACGAATATCGAAAACGATTGATGCATCGAGTTGGTTGTTCCCATGCTTAGTCGTATGGGAATACACGGATTGTGATCGTGCCGGTGAAAATGGAACTGTGTTTTCATCGTGATTAAGAGGGGCGTATCCGTGAAATAACTGTAGAGGAGCGACTCTAACGTCTCTCGGCACACTTTGATCCCCTTCTTCTTTCTGAATATATCTCCTTTTCTACTACTCTCACCGTTTCTTGGGCATTCGAAGCACGGACGATCTCTGCTTCACCGCCTCGCGACAAAGGGCGTCATCGTAGGCCTCGATAGCTTCGTTCTTGGTCTCGAACACCCCCAGATACAGCTGAAAAGTGCACGACCGGTGAGTGAAATAAAGTCGGCGCTAATCGCCCTCCCTTACATCTCTCTGCAACACTCTAGGACCTTCCCGACGTACACCATCCGTCACAACATGTGGCATTCAGCCTGATTCACGTGCCATGTGCAGGGTGTCCACTGCTGTTCTTCTGATGAAGGACGGAAAACACTCAGTGAAAAGAATCCAACAGGAATGATCCGAGTTGCACTGAAATGAAAGGGGTGCGTGTCAAAATCCAAAGGTTGAACGGGAATATCGCGCACCTGATCTCTGGCGATCTTGGGGTCCTGCCTGCTCCTGCGGAACCGCTTGTACTGGGACATCATCGCCGGCGACGAGTCCCACAGCTTGCGTCCGGGAACCATCATCGTAGCGACCCATCTCCCCTTTACGCACCGACCGCCCCCACCGCCACCGCCGCCGCGTTTCGAATGGCTACCAAGAGCAACCGGCGCGTTGCGGGGCTTGGTGCGGTCTTCTGCATTAACACTGTTGTTTTCGTCGAGGTCGTCCGTGGGACAACGTGACTCCACTCCCGAGTTGTCTCTGTTGTTTTCGTCCCCTTGTCGACGGTCAGAAGACGCAAGCGAGGACGGTGTCGGGTCCCGCGCTTCCAAAGCGCCCGACCGTCCCCGTTTCCCTGCGTTGACCTCGGTTTTTTTCCCATCTTGCGTTCTTGGTGCCGAGGATATGTTGCCGTTGCTAGCCAGCGCCGACTTCACCTTTTGCGCCTGCGTGTCCTCCCGCCAGAGGCAAATAGCCTCGACCACTTTGACTGATGCAAGACGGAGCTGTGAGTGAAATGAGCGAGGAGTGATTGGTAACGTTCGACGAACACCGGGCATAGACTTGAGAGACCAGGGACATTCAATAGAGAAGATACTGCCGTAGCTCAGATAGTACCAACACGGTTCGTGAGCACGTTGTCCAACAGAGCACGAGATACGATTATATGTTGATGCTAGTTACTCGTAAAAGAGTACGCCCAGGACGAAGACCCTCGCTCTCTGCTTTTGACCGTAGGCAGAGAAATGCTTGAGTAGGAGAGCCACGATAATGCGGCGGCAGGATAACATCCACACCTGATCTAACACGCGCAGCAGAGAGATCACGTCTGATTCTTCCACGTTGGTCCTCGATTTCGACAAGAAATTCCTGCTGCAGGTGACGCCCTCCCACTCCGCAATGGAAAGAAGGCCCTCTCTCTTGGCAATACACCTTGTGGTTTCCGATCAAGTTCGAGGCACGTTCGTTACATTCGTGGCGCCGTCATGAAAAACAGCTCATTTCATTGTTCACTACAAGCAAGCAAAAGGGGCGGGTGACCCTTTCCCACCACCAAAAACCGAAACCCCTGCGGCGCAAAGTACACGGCGGCCTATCTACAAGCAGGGCTGGTTTGGGATATTGGAGAGAAGTTCTGGTTTCCAACACTTTTCCGACTACGAGGTGGGTTTTGAAGTCGACACTTTCTATGTCCTCTTAGACGACTGTGAGGATTTTGGTCGAGCACCATGCCAAGTCTGCATAGCGCAAGCTAATACTTTCCACACGATCGATCCGCGTGGCGGTAATTTGGAGACTGCAGGTGTGGCATGAAGTTGCAGATACAAAATGTTCACAGCAGTATCATGGGACAGCAGCGTAGGGAAAACCATAACTAGAAACGGGTGAATCGGGTGACAGCATTCCGAGTTTTCTTGCGGCCTCTCTGCACACCGCGGGCAGAAGTCAGCTTACGACATGCGACTCACGCAAGGACTTCCAGCTCTGTCCTGGCGCAGTTCCCCTCCCTCCATGCTACCATTCGATCCTTTTCTGCGATGCTGATGAAATAGTGCCGACACCTGATTTGTTTAGGGAAAGGGGAGCGTGAAATCTTGTTTTGAACGCGAAGGCTTGGTCGCTGCAGCTGGGGCAACTTCCCGTTTTGATCTCCCGCCGTGCGGAGAACCATCGATTTTTGACCAACTCCTCCAGGAAGGCGATACGGGACACTAGTCGGGAGTTTGTGTGGGGCGTCGACGAGCATAAATCGAATTTTCTGTCCCCTCCCCTGCTACACTTGGCGGTGGTTGCAAGATATCCAAACCTGAAGCCGAATATATTAGGCCCCTCGAGCGACTCAATCAAGCTTCTCTTCTACTGCCGTTTTCGCTCTCCTGAACTATAGGATACGATGTGCCGTCTCCACGGGTTTCTATGAGCCCGCATTATCGTAAAAACGCAGTTGTATAGGTCAAGCCGTGAAAGAAAGGAAATATTTACACCACCCAAGCGTATGGATAGCATTAAGTTGCCTAAACTGAGCTGACGCTCTCTCTCTCGGCGATGGCGGCTACAATCCAAACCGCATTGTTATTAGGCTCACCGGCAATGTATCTGGCTTTTCGGGCACGCGCGTGCGACCCATCTCTTGCACAGCGGAGAGGCCCCGTACTCTTCGCAAGGGATCACCCGGTCTCCGTCGCTGGTGTCGTCCTGAAAGAAGAGCTGAACGAAAGGACGAACATCAGGAGAACGTTTATACGATAGGCCTAAACAATTGGTGGTGATTAGACCTTTGTAGATGAGAAAACTCGATATCCCGTGGGTTCAGCGAGGGTGTGCATCGGCGAAAATTGCGAGCGAACAACATACAGCGGGCGAATCAACACACACCGGGCGATGATGGTCCGAGGAATGACATGGGCACGACAATGCCAGCGATACTCCATGGTATACCTTAGGGCCGTCAGACGCTGCCATGACCGCCAAATCCCTGTTTTTTTCTGCTCCCCCTCCGACCGCCGACGTTACCCCATCCCCCCCGCCGGCACCACTGCCCGCGTCACCCCCGCTCCTCTCATCTCTATCGACTCCATTCAACGTGGCTGACGCGACGCTCATATGTTCCTGGAACTGTGCGTCCACCTTGGCCACAGCACGCGCGATGCGTTGGTGGTTTAACCTTACTTTTTCCTGCGATGGGTGAGAAGCACGCGAGGAGGGGAGGGGGGAGGGAGGCGAGATACGGTGACACTCGAAACAAGAGCCCGATTGCGGAAATTAGCGCGCAACACATTCAACGCCCGAAATACAACCCCACTCTCACGTCTTGCTGGAAACTATTGAGTCTTATCCCTGTGCCGTGCGCTCCGTGCGCGCCTCAGTGTTACACTCAGCACCACCGCTCCGCTCGTGTGCGCGTTTATCGTAAGCACGAGATGATGAGCAGAATAGGTGACAGAGACACAAAACATAGAACGAAGACCAGGAGAGTCTTGAACAAAAACTGCGGAAGAGAGAAACCGAGGCAAAGACAAATTATGACAAATAGACAGACTAAATGGAGTGGAAAGGCTGAGTCTATCTCCTTGTTCTCCATTCGCTTGCCTGGCGATCAATGTTGATGGACTGCAAGCTCGTCTTCACCAGGCGCGAGAAGTCCATCCCGATTTCCCCGGAGACCTCCCGCCCTAGCGACAGCGCCGCCGTCGTCGCCGCGGACTCGACTTCCTCGCCGAGTAGCTCGCTCTCCGGAAGACATGTTTGGCGGGTTATCCCGAGCTCCTCCGAGCGGCGCAGCGTGTGCCGGAACAGGAAGATATTGTTCGGGTTTCGGTAGCGCGGGGCACCGCCATAGACACCGCGCTCCATATACCTTTATTGTTTTGTTGTATCACCGTAGCGTGCAGGTTCAGCGGAGAAGAATCAAGCGGCGCAGCACGAAAGGGCGGCTGTGCATGGCGACTATCGTCCGTACTAGCACGAAATACGTCGAAACGTGGCTGAACAAAGTGAGAAGTTGAGGGGGGGCTGCAAGAATGGGTATTGATATTGTAGTGGGGTGTGCCCCTCGAGTGGGGTGGTACACGAATACGAAGTAGCACATATCTGCGGCCAAAGGGCCCTTGAACACCTGGCATATGAGAAACGGAACAGCAGCACACCCTTCCCCTCATTCCCCCCCTTCCCTCCCTTAGACTCTTCTTCCATGCTTTGGGCACTAACCGTCCATTTACTTCGGGGAACGGCGCGCCGTCCACCACCCACGTGTCCACTCGCTTTTGCGTGACCACCCTCGACTGCTCATTTGTATGGATAGCAAGGACAAATAGGAAGTTGCCGGACAATCATCCTCCGTTCAACCGATTTGTGCAGGAGGGCAGCCAATTTCCTAATCCGTTGCGTAGTCGAGCCGATGGATCGTATGGGATTGTGGATTTCTTTCCCCTTGGCAGGCTATCTGACAACTGTGATATTCGTAGAAGGCGTGTTCTTGAGCGAGGTGCTGACTCGTATGGTAACAGTGCTCAGCAACAAATCATGACATAGCTGATATGTGGCTACCGATGTGCCAATTGACTGGCGGTCGTGCTCACGGATGAACCTCGACTAAAACGAAACTCGCCGTTGTTTTAGGAACCACGCAGCTAACGCTGATTCCCCCGGAGCCCTGATCAAAGGCCATCCAAGCGCTCGAGGGTACCGTGGTTGCCTCCGAAAAACTGCCGTAGTACGCGCGGCTGAGGGTCTCGCCGGTGATGTTGACGGTGATCGTCCCGATAACCCAAAGACAAACCGTCTTGTGTCGAATTCATATTTCGCATGCCGGGTACGCCATACGGCAGACACGGTAGGACGGACGCAAGTGAGACGAAACACGACGAATCTTCGGACAGAAGTGGGCCCTAAATGGCATCTATCTATCTCTATCATTTGTAAAAGGAGAATATTGAAATATTTCCAAGCGTACGGGTGAAGGCAACCTACTTGTTCATGACATTCATTTCCTGCACCAAACCTCATTGGAACGATAACAATGGTGCGTACCTCATCTCGGACGCCAGTCACCCCCCCTGCCACAGCCCCGCTACCGATTGGTGCGTAATCCTCCGGCGGTGCTCCATCTTTCTTCATCCCAAAACGCCCCTCTCTCGATGATGTACAGCTCGACTTCGACCATGAAACCTCGAGACCGAGAGCTGGCCCCCACTCTGCCTGAACTCGGTGTAGGGCCTCCACGGCCTCCTGATACCTCAGCCGGCTCTGTATAGCGGGCAATGACATTGTGGATGGAAGCAACACGACTACTTCGGATCAATAGTGAAAATGCACGGGAAGGTTGGGCCGGAAACGGGTGTTTCTTTGAACGATAGATGAGGGAGTGGGCACGGGAGTGATTCCCTTGAGAAATTATTGAAAGTAGCCCTTCAGGTACTGGTCGAATATCAAATAGAGCTCAGGTCTCCTCTCACTCTACTCAACTTGAGCATTCTACACATGCACTATCGAAGGTCCGGGAGGGCGTTCGATAGTGCCTGAGTAGGGAAAACTACGCCCTGTTGACTTCTAATCCACAAATTCTCTTTCGTTGAACAACCATGCTTTGTATGCTTCACGCGTCACCCAAATACCTGCAAAGCCACCTCGTTCTTGGTCATCCACACCCGACGCTGTCCGACTCGGCTGTCGAACGTAGCCTCCTCTGAGTGAGAAGGCGCCCTCTGCATGTCCTGCAGCTTACTGGCTTCCTTGCTCGCCTCCTGTTCCGCTTTGTCAGCCAGGAACATTAGGTCCATGGCTGTCTTCTTGGCTTGCGCCAATAGATCCTGTCGGGGGGGTATTCGGGTGCACAAAGCAGACCTCATGCTGAACTACTGTGGTTATACGGGGGAAAAAATGGTAGCCTCGACTGGAAGCCTCACGAGGGTGGAAGCCTCACGAGGGTGAAATGGATAATCTAACCCTTTGAGAATGTGAAGCAAGGCAAGTGACGTTACAACATTTTTTGTGGGTCAGTTTAAAACCCTCCATGAGCAGGATTGTTGTACCCGGCGGGCACGATCATCTTTCCTCTCGAGGGGTGGTGGTCCACCCGTTTGTGTATGTGCAGTTGCTACAGAAGATCCTGTGCCAGATGTACTAGCTCGAATAGAGCAGAAACTCTGCGTGTGCCCAGGAAAAACCATTTCACGAGAAGTGGTCCGGGAACAATAAGCTGTCTCCGGACAAGGTGGCACACCGAGGAGGCTCCGCCTCAAGTAAAGCGCATGTGCCTATTCGTATGTCACATATCACGTACCTGTGCTTCCGAGACTATCTGGACCTGAGTCTGACGCTCAAATATTTCGTCCATCTTGTTTTCGGTGGTGCGGACGGACGAGGAACCTCTTGACCGCAACGATTCCCTAAGCTGCGACGGATCAGTAGAGGTGCTCCTTTCGTGAATTGAGACACCGCTTGGGACTGTGGGGACGCTGGCGCTGCTGCTCTCATGAATGCTGTCATTGTCCTGGACAGCGTCCAGCGATGGTCGCTTTTCGAACTCAGAGGCTTGGTCTGAGAGAGCATGTTCGTGCGGCCTCAACTCATGTTTCTGGCTACTGCTGTCGCTGCTTGCTGTGGAGGCAGTAGAAAACACCGTAAGGAAAGCGAGAGATGGGGCGAAAGAGATGACGAAGACGACGACTTTGTGAGACAGTGATATTTGTTTTCCAATACACCTGTAGCAACGTCCTTCCTGCGGTACGGACGAGGAGACAGTTCGTTCGTTCCCATGGATTGTTGTGGTACTTACAACGTCCAGGTGCAACAAAGCGCACGGGTCTTTAGGATTGCTCCATGTCGGACCACTAAGTTTGTCAGCAGTGACATAAGAAAATTAGGATGGAGGAGCACAACGCCGAGCAGCCATGGGTTCCACGGGAATATGTAAGCCGAGGAAAGAACGCCCACATCCACACAACAGCGCAGGGTGAACAGTTTTTTTTTTCTTTTGTCTCCACTTCAAGTCAGCGCTCACAGCACTATCATAGTGCCGTTTACTCCAACCCGTGGTCACACAAAAAAGCCCCTCTCTACCCTCTGTGTACACACAAACTAGCGCTGTCTCCTAGGCCAGGAGCGGAAGCGAGAGAAATCTCACTTTGCAAGAAAAGTTCGCTTTCGCCGGGATTCGAATCCCTGACCTGACCACTAGAAGGTTCTGAGGATACCAACTGGACCACGGCAAACAGTAAGCATGGGCAAAAACTGAAACTTCTCTGGCTTCCTGCCTAGGTCCCCGACCTTCCGGGATGGTCGACGGGCTCACGACGTCTGGGTGATCTCGAATAATTCGCATCGCCTCGGTTAGCATTCTCGTTTCTCGCCCAAGGTCGTCTCGTTCGGTCTTCGCACGGTCGAACCAAAGATCACGCCTATCACCGTGAGGTTGGGCACGTTTTGCCAATCGGAGGGTTCACGATGTTTAGATTTCAGCGAGAGAGAGATTCTTCTTAACGCAATGCAACCCCACAAGCAAGGTTCACGATGTGCGGCATGCAACAGGGAGTGGCGGCAATCAAGTATTTACCCTGGTGCGCCCTTCTCAATCGTGTTCTGTCTGGGTCTCGGCAATAGTCATTTATTGCAGCCAGACAATTCGTGCCAATAGTCTAGATTGTGGCTAAGGCATCACAACAATGATATGGCACCAGGAACTAGTGAGGTGACATAAACCAGGTTCCGCGATTAACTCCATTATTAAAACATGTGCATGTTGTTTATGCTGGCTGTTACGTGTGGAGTTTGTTTGAACTGCCATTCGCTTTTTCCCAGCAGCTGTCAACCAATTCTCTGAAGAGACCAATCCAAAAAACACAGGCACGATTTCTGGTACACATGTTATCGCGAGAGGACCGACGCGTTACGACAATCAATCTTGCCTTCCTAACACAATAGTTGTGCAGTAGTCTGAGAGGTGATGGAACGACTTCGTGGTTATGTTCGCTGATGCTGCCAATTTCCGTCCTGCCATTCACTTGTCCTGGTGCAATACTTGCTGTGCTGTTGTGGGGTCGAGATACAAGCTTGGTCACCCCCCGCGGCCAGTACATGTACCGCTGTTGACTTGCCACACTAGGAACCAGTGGTTCGCTTTTCTTGCGTTGCCTTCGTCTACCTCGCTCTGGCTTCGCCCTCTCGATGGTCTTGAGTTGGTGCGGTCAAAAGGGATTCAAGGCGCTACGAGTAAAAGTACTGTACAGAATGATAACTCGCCGTTGCTCTTCAAAAACGGAGGAGAGGACTTCGCCATCCCGCAAGGACTTCGCCAAGGCGTTTTTCTCGCATATGCGGAGGGACTGCGACCCCAGGGTAGTGTGTCCAGCTGCCCTGAGGAACGCGTCCCGTGAAGCGGCTGCCTGGGGTGGCAATGTTTCAGAGAGGATCGCACACGATCCGCAACCATGAGCATGGAAATCTCAATATATGCAACGTTTGTAATGGCACGCCTTTTTCTAGTCTCGAACATAATCGTTAATACAAGAGACAGATTCTCGAAAGAAGTAGCCAACGCCTTGTGTGCTAAGAAACATAGCTCTAGATTCCGAAAGCTGTGTTTAGGCTATGGCTAGATCAGCAACACAGGTGAATCAGCATCACAGACCGAAGGACATCCTGGAGTGTGTGACAGCAGTACTGCCACGCGCGGGTTCAGTTGCTTGGGAAAGTTTACATACTTGCTGAAACTAGAGGCCGAACTGGCGCCAGGCCAAGACTTGAGCAATCTCATGCGTGCACCTTGGTCAAACGTGGAAGGCGCGTTGACACCGCGGCCTTCCTCAGCCCTTCTCGTCGCCGTTCACGCGCTAGCTCCTTCCGAATGTCAGCAGGAGCCTCAGCCGCGAGTGAGCTTGGTCCTTCCGGGTGAGGGTCTGGCGCTACGCCAAGCTCCGTCAAAGGCTGCAAGTCAGAGTATAGGAACCTTACGAACAAGAACAAGAACGTGAAGGACAATGAAACGGCGCAGAAAGCGTGTACAGGAGGACCCTTCAGGATACTATGCAAGAGGCACTTGTCGGTGGACCCTCTTCTTGTGGTATTATTTCTTCGGGAAACGGGAGGCTCCGTATGTCCCAACCATGTTTCGTCCTTCTGCATTGCTATGACTCACGACCCATGACGAACCAACTACCCAACATATTCCTTCTACACGTTCCCAGGACACGACACAGAACATGCGCAAGATGTCTTGTTGACCCTGTTGGGAAGTTGAAATACTGCAATTGAATAGTGGTATTGGTAGTAGACGTGAGCGGGAAATCGTGGAAATACAGGTAGCCTTCGATGACGCTATGGACTCCTGCTAATGTACCTTAGACTATTTTCTATGGATAGAGATGGATTCGTGTCAGAGCATATGTACTTCTCTAGTGTAACGTGTACTGCTTTCAGCAGTCGGAAAACAAAAAAACATTAGCAAGCTTCTCCGTAGAACAGACCACCGGATATGCACGTACAGCAGTACCTTCTGATGAGCTGATGACGAGCTTTCGTCCGAATCTCCACCCCTCCTCTTGATGCCAGGGACGACATCGATTGTAGAGTTGATGGAACCCAGGGCTCAGGCGCTGATCGAGTAGCTTCATGCTCCATGTCACGCCTGTCGTCAGCAGCAAGTCTCCCTACATGCTCCGTCCAGTACTAATCCCGGTTCACTGCTGGGCGGAGCTCTCGTATACTGCTACGTACACAAGCTACAGCTGTTCTAGGCTGACCCTACATCAAGCTAGGCTCTCTACCAGCCCAGCAGGCCAGAGCTGGACCCAACAAAGCTAGACGGACACACAAGAGGTTGTGGAGTTGAAAGGTGAGAGACTCAACAGAGCGGCGAGACTACACCTACACGCCGACCTGCTGGCCGTTTTTTTTTTCACGGGACTGTGGGACCCCTCAATCTCGTTCAATCCCGATCGGGGTAAAAGTATGAAACCCACCGCTCTCTTTGCTGTTTGCGGCTTGCCTTCTGCCTTCCCGATAGCTACTTCCCGAGCCAAGACCCTTGCCCTCGTCGAAGTTTATACCGCCTCAAACGTGTTTCTGTACTTGCCCTTATATATCTACGATGGGGTCCGCTGCTTCTACGGCCGTTCATCTGGTACAGCGCAAGAAAAAGACAAAGGCGCTTATGCTACAATATGCAGACGCAACGTGAGTGAACAAGAACGTGCCGAGTTACGTATGGAATCGTCTACATAAATGTACACCATGAACTTGCCGATGTTGACACTCGAATTCTTCGTCTCTCCTCCATCTATGTGTTGACGGGAGTTGAGAGAACAACCCATTGGAGACTATCGAGGAGAGAGGAAGGCCGCGGCAACGGGCTATGTCGAAAGGGACTTCACATGTTTCGATTTTGTTTTTCTCCTTTCATTGGACTCTGTCGTCTGCCCCTCTGACCCCCATCCTCCACTTCTACCAGCTAGACGATCCAACTGAGGTCACATAGGAGGGGGGGGTCGGACCCCTCCTGCAGTTCCTGCCTGAGATATTTTTATCGCGAGAAGGGTACAGCAATCCCGTCCCTCGCGACTTATGAAGTCGGTCCAGTTTACTAACAACGAGCTTTGCAGCGCGTCGCTTCCAACGNTCATTGGACTCTGTCGTCTGCCCCTCTGACCCCCATCCTCCACTTCTACCAGCTAGACGATCCAACTGAGGTCACATAGGAGGGGGGGGTCGGACCCCTCCTGCAGTTCCTGCCTGAGATATTTTTATCGCGAGAAGGGTACAGCAATCCCGTCCCTCGCGACTTATGAAGTCGGTCCAGTTTACTAACAACGAGCTTTGCAGCGCGTCGCTTCCAACGGAGGCCAGGAATAAATTAGCGAGAAAAGACTCACTCTGTCGGGACTCGAACCCATGACCTGGCCCTTAGCAGGCTGCGAGGCTACCTACTAGACCACCGGGGCGACCGGTGTACACCATGTAGAGTGCTGGCTCCGCGGTGTGCAAAACGGCGTCGTTGCGTTGCAGGGTTATCACTTTGCATCGAACTGCTTGCAATTTACTGCGGATTCGACGACTGATGACCGATATTCGTGTTGTTGTTTTGACGCTTTGCACTTCTCCGCACCTGTACCGTGCAAAACGTCTCAAGAGGATCGCTTGAATCCACTTTCAAGACAATGAAGGTATCTTCGGACATGCGTCTGTCCTGGCTTCAACGATGGCAGTCCATGGATGAAGATGGCTCCAACCTTCTAGACTACACCGAGTTCCTGCAGGCGTGCGGGCTCCGCGATAACATTTGGAGCTGGCGGATGTTTAACCTGCTCGACAAGAACTTTGTAGGTGCGTCCTCTGTTGTGTTGTCCGAAAGTAACAACAGGCAGGGGCTTGGTACCCTGTACATGGTACTTTGTAACATTGGGTTGCTACGCTAAGTTCTAGTTGGCGTAAACGAAAATAACTCGAGGGGTAAAACCGCGCGATGAATGCAGGAATAGTTCCTCCGACTATTGACCGAGCGTCGCTCGTCTCTACTGCAGAGTGCGTAATACCCGATTTACGACATCACGGGTGACTATCGGCTATTGAGAGAATACATCTACCGCACAGTATCGTACCAGATGACAAGACGTGCTTCCAAGGAGTGTTGAAGTTCCGCCTCTGCCTCTCCTTTTTTTTTTCTCAGGGTGTGTTGATTTCTTCACCTTCTTTAGCTCGCTACCACGGTTTCTGGTGTTCAACCGTGCCAATGCGGTAGAAGTGGCATTCCGGATGTGCAGCCGCAGGGGATCCACCTGGGACCCGGATAAGTCGGTCTTAGACGAGAAAGACATCCGACTGTTCGTCGAAGAGCGGTGAGAAAAAAAAACGAGATCACACAGAATACTCTCCTATCGTTTGCAATGCAACAGCTACCATAGCACTAATCGCCTGTGTTGTCGTGAGGCCCCATTTTTGGCTTGACAACGAATTCCGTTATGCCGGTGAGGCAAGCTCGCTTGAGAGGATAAGAGTTTACCATCGAACCGTTTCTATTCCTTTCTGTGAATGAAAATCGAAATCCTTCAGGTACCCGACGCTAGATCGAAAACATACCCTGCACCGTGCGCTGGAGATCTTGGCGCATCTGGATAATGATTGTTCTGGTGGTGTAAGCTTCGACGAATTCGAGCACTTCTGCAACACGTGAGAAGTGAAGCCAGTCTGCCATTATTTGCCACCCAGAGTCGTATCCGTACAGAGGATCCGCGATTCCTCGTCTCTTTTACGTCAAATCCGGCAGGGTACTTGGCCATCTCTACAAAGAAGGCGCAAGTGCGATCAATCGTGAAGGGCTTTGAGCTCGTCGGGTCAAGAACGGAGACGAACGCTGCCACATGATCTCGTCAACAATCCTCGCACCCAGACCTACGATAGATTGTTGCCTTTTTCGGCAACGGCGCTTGAAACGTGTAGCCGTGCGATTGACTGGACAATGATTCTAGGTGTCCTGGGAAATCGATTGCCTGTGCCTCTCCACACGCCCTTGCTTGCAGGAACCCTGTTTTCTTAACGGCAGTGCAGGAGACACTTCAGTCCATGCGAAATGCTCTTTTCGGCGAAAGTTACTGGCGAGAATTCTCCAAAAAGGCAAGGACGTTCGACAAATCAACGCAGCGCGAGATATTCTGCTCATCACAGGTGTGATGGAAGCTTATCTGGGTATGTGTGACTTCGTTGCTGCGAACAAGAGACGATGGGATATAGCTTCTCGCGAACGTTCTCATTGCATGGACAAAAACAAAGTTGTTCCCGGCTCACAGTAGTTGCTCCTGCAACTCCCTGTATTTACCGCTATCAAGCGCATATACGGGGCGAAACTTCGTATAGCATCGCCCCCCTCTTCCACCGCACCGCTTGATAGTCCAACGGACCAGCGTGCCAAAAATATCCGACATAAGTTGCCTCCTCGTACAAAACCTAGCCCCGGCATGTCCAAATGTGATACGTAAGGAAATTGCATGAAGCACAAGACGATCATTGTCGTTCGCAAACTAATCTGTTAATTCGTCCCCCACTCGTCTGAGTACCAGACATGCATAGATGGCGGTGACACAGGCGCACGCGGGTTTGTCACGGCCGTTAACCGACGGGTCGCTGCAGCCGCTCAGCGTCAATTTCAAACAATGGCCTTGGCTGCAGCAAGCAAAAAGATGCAAGTGTTGAACGGCATGAGCTCAATTGGAAACACTACAGCAAAAAAAATCAGGAGGGTCGCGTCCGAATCTAGCATCGGGCGTCATCTGAATTCAGGGGTAAGTCAACAAGCATCTGAAGAACTATTGGTTTGGAAAAGAAGGTGGAACGCGAGACACGTACAGCTTAGAGGTGTTCCTTGGTGGTTTTCATTCGACAAGACGTGACTTCTAGAAGTGAACTGGGCTGACGTGGACTGGTTTGTCTGTCGACGCGGCTCAGCGCGCACTGCCGGTGTCGGCATCATTGTGTCCTCTTAGTCCCTGTTCGAATAGCAGATCGTGTAAACCTCCAGGAGTGCCCGTGCTGGCTACATTAGTCGCCCGCCACATCACAACGGGTCCTGCCGCCTGCCATTGCTCAACTGAGATCGTCATTGGAATTTCTTGTTGGCTACATTTTACGCACGTAAATACACAGGGCAATGAGCGACCAACAGTTGCTAAACCTGGAGACGTCGTCATGAAGCGACTTAAGTTGTGGACAACAGCAACAAGTGCCGTAGACAGCGAGCGACCCTTAACGACGCGCGTGGAAAGAGTGAGAGCGACGCTTCGAAGAGTCGTATCGGACTCCGATCTGGGAAATATCGGCAAGTCTGAGAGATCAGCCAAGGTTCGTCTGCAGATCGTGGATACCTTGCTGTGGTGCTCACGTTTCCTTACGCCAGCAATATCAAGTTAACGGCTATTCCAGTCGACCTTTGGCAGCTAATTTAGCAGCTGTTGCGTTTCGCTGCGTTGTGTTCTTGGCCTCGGCGTTTTCTGGACGCTTTCGAGCGCTCTGCCAGCACCGTTGTACATATTACTGCACCGGTCAAACTCAGTTGACGCGCCAATACCGCTTGTTGACCCTCGTTTTATCGATGGCGATGCCTATTTTTTCACGGCCTCCAACAGTTCGGGGAGAGCCTTACAGGCGCCCGGGCTCGCTGGGCACGATCAATGAGCCCAGCGGAGCTCTCCTCTTCCGTGAAAACCGCCAGCAAGCGCGCGACTAAACACCTTGCGGAGAGTGCGCGCGACATCTCCCAAAGCGGAGGCGCCATTCGGCAGCTGTCGGCCCGAAAGATGGCGGACACGCGGGGCTGGCTCAAAGTTGAGTCTGAAATGCTGACCGAAGCAGCCAAGGGTGCGGCCAGGGACTTGGAGAAGTTCGGGAGGCTCAAAGCAATAGCTACCGTCGCTGTTGCGGTCAATCGGATGCGGGCCCTGGCTGAAGCGGCGAGACAGGCGAGACAGGCGACGCGCAAATATGAGTCGAAGTAGGGGCATGTCGAGCCCCCGAGTCCTTTCTGCTTTGACGAAGAGCTCGTCATCCATTGTAGAGTGTCCAGAAACCATATTCAAGTGGACTTTCACTCATTTGCTGCATGCGGCCTGGTAGTCGTGCTTACCAACCAAGTGGCGAGGCCACGTGAAAGTTGCAAGTGCCTTTTCTCTGCGCCGCAACCACCATCGAGATACCAGGTGAACACTCGTCCGGCACAAGTGCTCGTTTCTAATTCTTTGTCACGGGTGCTTTCCCACCGCGTAGAGCGCGGTACCAATAATCCTCACCATGCAAAAATGTTGACACCGGGTTTGTGTCCGAATCATCGTGCTGAACAATCACGAGCACCAGCAAAAGGGCAGAAGCGGGCATGAAGACATAAACAAAGCAACGCGTCGTTCGGGTGTCATTTTTCTCCACATCACCTCACCAGCGACCGGACGACGAGACGGCCCGGAAAACCGGCAAGCGAGTCGGCGAGGCTGCCAAGGTCGGCGGCGAAAAGGCCCTTGCAGCTCTCAGGCGATCCTTTGTCGCCATCACCGCCGTGAGATACTTCAGTGAGGCTGTCAAAGACGCTGCACGAGGAGGACTGCGACGGCAAGATCAGCAACGCCCGACCAGTGCCAACCTGGTGAGGATTCTTGTCGCTTCTGTCCATGTTCTGAGTATGGCCCTAAGTGTGGTATCGGCTACTGGCTGTCGTTATATGAACCCATCGGTTTTCAGTGCGGCATTGAAGAGGGCAAGATATCTAAGGTAGTGACCGTTGACTATCTGCCTCTCCCTTCCGTCCAGTGAATTTATGGTATCTTTGAAGTAAAATGTCGATCGGCATCGTCGAAAGAATGACCCGCTGTTGAATTCACCGCAATCTTTTAGTGCAAGGCTACCACACAAAGCAGAATGCTATGCTTCCTATTATTTGATGATCGCCATGGTTGGGGTGGGAAACGGAAATATCCTGGAGGGCGGTGATCCAGACGTTGCCGATAGTGGATACGGTATGCTGCTTGGTGGAGACGAGGATAGCGAGGATTCACAACGAGCTAGAGAGGATGACGAGAGCGAGGTGCCGGCGACGGCGGAAGAAAAACTCTGGGATATCCTGACCGATGCTAAAGCCAAGGCGGAGGTGAAGGTGTTCCAGGAGCGACACTGGGCAGCAACGGAGAAGTTTTACGAGAACCTTGTCACTGCGACGGAGAGGCTTGAAGAGAAAAAAACCAAGGAGAAAGGGTAGGTTAGACTATGTTTCTTCCATTTAGCAACACACCATTTGTTCGCCGCAAACGTAATCAAGGCCATAGACTATACTCGAAGCATCACAGCAACCATTCGGAACATGCTCTTGATGACGTGGTTGTGGCGGAACAACAGGTCGTACTTCACGTTGTTGGAGTATCGACTAGTTTTGAGGCCCTCCATTATATGTGCTTTCACATCACCGAGACAGTCATCACACGAAATCTTTGTACGCCCACGGAGAATACATAAATTGGTACATTCTCGGGGTGACTTGGCCACGCCACAAGCGTATCCTGTGAACAGGTTGGCAACGACGCGCACAGGGTTCAACCACACAAAACGTTACGGGCAATCCCATGAAGTGCAATCAATTGCCGATGCGCCAGTACACACATTGCCCGCAGCGCGGTACATGCGCGCATATATACCGTTTCGCACATGCAATTCGTACGCTTCACGCGGTAACGTCTTAACACGTCCAGCCGACGGGCGCGTTTGAAAGACCCGTCGAACCATGGCCAAAACGAAGTACGATGACTTGACCAGACACATCTCCTCAACCCCATTTCCGTCCCTGGTGATGTAGACTAAACAGAGTATGCTCACACTACCAGCAAGGGCGATGTTGACGAAAAAAAGCTCCGATGAGGAGTGTTGCTTGACGTATCAAACAAACTTCATTCTCTAGACTATATCCTGCGTCCTGAGCTATTCCATCTCAACGAAATGTGCTGGGGATGCTTGTAGTGCCTCTCTTGTTGCCAGACAGACTTCACTCAAATGAATCCACTTTTCTCGCGGGTTTGCCCGGAACGGGTGGCCATCATGTCCAACGCCCAATTGGCAGGAAATACTCAATCTTGAACGGGATTGTTGGCAAGAAGCAATTTTTGAATGTGACCCCCTGCCTCCCTTTACGGTCCGGGTACGAAAAAAGATACGACTTCTCGGCGGACTTCCCGAAACTATGGTGCGTGGCTACCATGCGTGACAGCCAAGGCGAAAGAAAGATCCAGTACCGACGGAAGCGGCGATCGAGCGCGTCGAAAAAGGCGGCAAATGTGTATTTACGTTTCATGACGTTGTGGCAGGCAAGTTGGACGTTTTGTCGTTTCAAGACGTTTATTGGCGTGTGCCGCCTTGTCAAGGTGTTTCTCGAGGCCGAGGGGTTGAGACCCCACGAATGAATTTTGAAGAAAATGTACGCCATCCATGTTTCTCGTGGCAAGCAAGCCCCAAAGCTGCACACTACCGTGTACTGAAGTATGTACCGACCACATATATTTCCGTCCATCATGCTTTTATGTAGCTTCATGTGCCTCGGCCTCGATGTCAACCGACAAAGGAAACGAGAACAATCAACCGTGTGGCAAGTACTTGCAAGCATACAAAACAATAAATTAGTACTCCAACAACACCAGGAGGCCGGCGATGACAGCGGCCGCTCGAAGTTGGCAAAGGCTTTCAACCGGTGGCGGCTGAACACCTGCGACGCCGCCGTGGACGACCTGAGCGGTAGCTTGTCAACGCTAAGTAAAGGTGGCAGGGCGGCATCAGAAGAGAGTTCCACGAACGCCCCCCGGCACATACCGAGCCTCATGGAAATGTGGGAATCTGCTGCTGCTGCTGGAGAGGGCGAGGGCACCCATCTGCACGCCATTATCATGAAGAAGGTTCAAGCCGACCGGCCTCTTCCACGCGAGCTGTGCGAGGCGTACGAGCGGGAGATGGTCGAGAGGATCGACCGTCGCCAGGCGGAGAACAACGTCCCCATCGTCCCCATGCCCATTTGCTAACTAGTGTCGATGATCGGTCACGGCGTAGGATTGTAGTTGTGACATGGTCTACAGTACCTGTGAGTTCGCCGTCCTTCCTCTGGACAGAGAAAGAAGTAAACAGGGTCAACGTCTTCCATGGGTGGGTCTGAGTGGATGTCGCTACGGTTACCTCTGGGGCCGCTTCCGGCTGGTGAGCTGAACAGGCCCGGAAGAACTGTATGTATTTGTCACGTAGGCTGATTTCACCTCTGCGGTGGCACAGATTCAGTGCTGCTCTTGCCAGACAAATTGCAACCAGATGCTTCAGCCGCAAAAAAACGCTCCCCCAAACTTCGGCCATACAACTTCGGAAGTCGGCTGTGGTGGAACCTTTTCGCAAGCGATAATAACGGCACGTGGTTAACAACATCTCTTGCAGGGAAATGACGGTGATAGGGAGGTTGCGATCCTCTCCAAAATTCATCGCACACCCCAGAGATTGGTTTTAAAGCTCGATTGCTGCAAAAACAAGGCGCGAAAACCGAACGGGCAGCTATTATAGGAATTCTTAACGCCTTGGAGCGCCTTGAAGTCGACAGGAACGAGGTGAGCCCAGGAGGTTGACAGTCCAACAACTAGTTTCGACTTCTGAAGAAGCAACATGCATGAATCCTGCCCATGCGTAGGCGGGACGATGCCCTATTAGAATCGAAAACAGTGCACCGCAAACACAAACTGACTAGTCTACAGTTTTTCGATATCTTGGCATACACGATTTCGGCGTAGCTCGGCGCTCTCAACAAGCTAACCTGGCTCAACCTGTCGAACAACCAGCTCAGCGGTGAGAGACGATGTTGACATTTGGATATGTAATACAGTTTTCTTTTTTTTCTGGAGAATATGCATGTGTCCAACGCACACATCCATGTTCGAAGAACAAAAAAGTACTCCAATATAGACTATATCCCAACTTCAACGTCATCTCTCACCGCGAAGCTGGTTGGGCAAGGTTAGCTTGTTGAGAGCGGTGAGCTGCGCGGGATCGCACGTGCAAAGGTGAAAACTGTACTTAGTTTGTGCGTATGCTGTGCAGTGTTTTCGATTCCGAACACTCGTCCCGCCTACACCATTGAAGGAACACATCCGTCTCAAATTCTAGGTACCAAGTACATTTAATCTTTGGGCGAGAGATTCCACCACCAACCTTCTCGACATTGCTAGCCTCTCGTTCGTGGAGCAATCGAGGTATCAAGGCTCGGACATGGGGATGTGCCATGGCGGGCACAATTCCCGTTTTCCTGGCAAGCTCCACACACCCCGATTCCCATGTTGCAGGACAAAACAACTTCAAGTCACCAAGAAGGCTCTTTCGATTCCCCGCCCCCGCTGTCCATATATACACCCGAGTGCGACCCGCCTGCCCGGTTCGGTTATTTTTTCCTCCCCCATTTCCTGCCTGAGACTCCTCCCTCTTGCATAGACCGTGCACATCCGCCCCAAACTTGTCCCGATCAACACGGACCGTACCCACAACAACGAAAATTACGACAGTACCCACCATTCGTGCTACTAAAGCGTGCGAAAAAAACTGTCGGACCGTTCTTCAGCTTTGCTCTATCGTCATCGTCAAACAATATCCGCCACTCCACAGTATCTACATACCTTCCGCGTTGCGTTCGGGTAACCCGTAGGCTTGCTTGGCTTCGTTGTTGTCGCCAAAACGTTTCACCAGGTCCCGGTTCGGTGCAGGCACGAAACAGCCCACCCTACTTCCACGTACGCAGGGCCGAATGAACACTCGCGGTCGAGACGCAAACTGCTAACCTAGGTAGCCGCCGCTAGAAATGCTCATGCGGTAGGCCATTAGGTGATTGGCTCACCAAAGAGGTGCATGCTCGAACTTAATCGATTTCCCCCCGAGGACTCAACGCAGTAGCGGGGTGCATCCAGAGGCCGCTCCCTCAACCACTACAGCACATGCTTCAATAAGGGCGTGTGCCAAGAGGTGAGCACGCACGTTGCTGCTGCCGCTGCTGCTTTCAAGAAGGACTGCAGCTAGCACGCGCAACAAGCAAGGCGATATAATAGTCGAAGAAAATATAAGCAAACCGCGCTACAAACGGTACCAAGGCCCGCGAATATGGCTTGTGGTCGACCACCACATATGGAAGCACCCATGCCCCCAATGCGCGCAACCTGTGAACGCCTTACAGTCATTCCGAAGACACTAAACGCATTTCCCTAAGGGAGCCTGAACTCAAACTTCGGCGTAATCGGATCCAATGCAGAGGGTTCTCTCGTCTCACGCTATTTTCTCGATTGTGATTAGTTGCACACACGTCCACGCTACAAATACACAGCCTTTTCCACGACCTGTACATTTGTGGCTCCTTCATGGTCCTATGTACAATGACAACGTCACATGGTGTCATCCCGTCGTTTACTCCTCCGCAGGCGAAGATCGACCACCGGCGAGAAGTAGACCAAGCCCCCAGACCCCGCCCCCGTAAGATCAAGGCCGAAAATCACGCCCACGATTTCTGATTACTCGGCGCTCGAACATTCGGCGTGACACGACACACTACCATGGACCATCATGGCGCACTCAATCACACCGCCAGTGCCGCCTCCCCCCCCCCCGAATGTAGGAGTCTCGTCCTCTCCAAAAATCATGGTCGTCGGCACATGTAGCTTGGATCAACCAAGCGATCGCAGGCGGTACCAACCGCCTTCACTTGTCTGGCCCCAGCATGGCGGGGGAGTAGTGGTTGTCCAGGAAGTCTTTCATGGTGTGAAAGAACCATTTTCCGTCGCTCTGGCCTCTCAAGACATGCGTGTGGTACCTGCATATTTTTCATCCGTCAACATTTGGAAAAGTTACCACCGCAAAGAAACACCCAACCGATTTTTCCTGAAGTGCTTTCACGCTGGCGTTGGCGCGAAGCCGGACAGTCTGTGCGCGCGATCCAACAAAGGAGGTACGAATATGCCCATGCGATTTAAACATGGTGGGGAATTCTATCCCAGGTTTCGTGCCCCCAGCCTAAAAAGACACAGCGCGGTAACGTCAGATTTGGACCTTCAAACATCATGCTATTGTGCCAAGAACTGCGCGACCGTATTCAACCCTCTCGAGTTGGTGAAACCGGACGATGGCGACGTTCTCGACTAATGATACTTGATTTCGAAAGTGCAACCCACCCCCCTATTCATCTCAAGCATTGAGGGGCTGCGCAAGGAAAACAAAGCAACAGACGCGACAACGAAACCGGCACGCAAGAACCAACAGCAACAAAATCTTAGCGGGGGTCGCTCTGACAGGAGAGGCATAGTTCACGAGGAAGGCGGCAGCAAGGGGACACGCAGACAAAAAAAAAAAATGGCAATCAATCGGGGCAACCAGACAAGCAAACTGTGGAACCGGCCGAGGACAACGTCTTGTCTTCACTCTGTTCTTCCTACAGCTCTTCCTGCGTACTGTTCTCTTCCGACACGGACGAGAAGCAGTACGCAGGGAGAGCGACCACCCAGTCCCGTCGCTGTTTTTGTCTCTCTCTGTCTGTCTGTCTGTCTGTCTGTCTCTCTATCTCTGTCTGCCTGCCTCTCTCTGTCTGTCTGTCTCTCTCTGTCTGCCTGTCTGTCTGCCCGTGCGCCTGCCTGTCTGTCTGTCTGTCTGCCTGTCTGTCTCTCTCTCTCTCTCTCTCACCGAAAGAGCGAGGCCCGGTGGCCCACGCTGACGAAGGCGTCGAGCGCCGCCGTCCTTAGCCAGGAGTACACCTTGGCCTCGTTCTCCTCGTCGAGGGCGGATGTGGCCTCGTCCAGAAATACCGTCGAAGGCGTGTTGGTCAGCAGCCGAGAGAACGCCAGGCGCTGGTTGAGGGCGCGTGCAAGGGGTGGTTGGTTTGGAAGAACCAAAACGCGACATGTTACGAGAAAGCGACACGCCCACGGAAGGCGGGAGACCAAAAAGGTCACAAACGAACACACGACGGGCGAACTTGAATCCAAACGACGCGCAGAGCACCGAGACGGATTGACATCTTTCAAACCCAATTCCCTCCTACCGCATCCGTTTTGAACGAATATTTGGCGGTTTTCATTCCCGTTCCGGCGAAGAGATGCGGAATTTTTTACGGCCTTTCAAAGTCTGATTCCCGCTGCAAAGCTGAGAAGACGGGTCGGAATAGGAAAAAAAAAGGACGAGCCAGCAGGAGGCGGGTGTCTCTCCTCCCTATTTACGTATGCATCTCAGACAGGGTACTTTTTGCGTCCTACTTTTTGTGTTCACGTGATGGCCAATATCTCGCCGAAAAAGGAACGAGGTGCTTGAAGCATGGTATCCGAAAGGAGACGGTGACATGGGCTGTTGGATAATGCCAAGGTTTGGCGCCGTGAGGTAGCGAATGCACCGTCCTCAAATAGGGATGTGATGACGCAAACAAGTCAACGGCCGAGCTGTGTGTTCAAACGAAGCAAAAAAAAGCAGTGCGGTGTTTTAGACTGCAACGGGCTTGGTTTTCCAGGGAAAACATTTCGAAGGAGGAAGCAGCAGCAATAGCAATGCCACCCCGCAGGAGGTAGCTCTATCGTACGTCTGCATCTCCTCTCCCGCCTCAACAGCCCGGAAAGCCGCGTCAGTAAGGAGAGGAGGCACAACAATGGTATATGTAGCACAGCGGCACAGAGAGATCACGCGGGCACGTTTCGTGGTGCTTGGGTGCGGACCAAGCACACGTGCAGCGCGGTTTTGTGCGTAACGCCGTGTTCCACAGAGTTTGCCGTTTCGTTGGTGGAGTCGCTCATAACCTTGTGGCGGGTGTGCCGCCTCACAAAACGAACAGCCCGCCGACCCTTTCAGACTCAAAAGCGGAATTCCCGTATGTTTCTGAATTGTCACGGATGAAAGGCAGGCGGGGTGCGGGAGTCGGCGTTTGAAAGATGTCTAATAAACAATAGGGGAACGTAGATAGCAATGACTACCGGTGGCTACCCCTCCCCCTCACACAACTTGCCGGGGGGGCAAATTCGCCTTCAAAACCAGCGGTGGCAAGCGAAACAAGCACAGGAACAGCGTTCGCTGCCACACTAGTTTCCCCCACACCGTCCCCAACCCTCTGACCTGCTGCTCTCCCAGGCTGAGCTCGTCCTGCCAGTCCCGGACCGCACTGAGTCCTCCAGACCTGGAACAGAGGTATCCAAGCTGAACCTGCTCAAGAATGCCTTCCATGGATGCCGGGGTCAACATCACTTCGTCTTCAGAGTGCGGGTACAGCATCTGGGCGCGCAGCGACCCCAGCGGGAGGTAGGGTTTCTAAAGTAATCGACGAGGTGGGGCGCGGCAGGAGGGGAAGGGCGCGCTGAGGTGAGAAAATGACGGCGAGCTTGTGGACACCACAAGACACCGAGGGTGGACGCAGCGGAGTCTGCCCTGCTGCAGCCAACGGCAAGGCGCACGGCTCTAGGAAATCACAGCTACCACACGATACCACGACACGAAGATGTGACACCTGGGGTAGCTGGCGAGCTGCCGCCAGAGTAGACAGTTGAACAAGGGAAAACCCAAATGGCAAAAAAATCCAACTGAACAAGGCATGCGACGCCTTCCGTACGAGCTCAGTTTACCTCCTGATTCTCTCCTGTCACTCGTTCCTACGACATCCATGCGTTCACTCGCCACTAGATTGGGCGGCAAACGGGACGCGAGCAGAGAGATCCAGATACCGGTAATGCTACGTTATCAAACCAGCTTATCTCAAGCAAACCGGGTCATTGCACATTGAAACACCGTAGTCACCTGCGGGATAAACATCGTCTCGTCATCCGAGTGCCGGGAAATGCTTCCTCGTCCAGCCGACCAAAGCCCAGAAATGCCCCTGAAACAAGGGCAGCCGCAAGGAATCCAGCACCGAAAACAACACGAACGCCCTTTCAGTCGCTCATACCATATTTTATCATCAGGGCACAGGCAGAACGAAACAACCAACACAACCACACCCGAGCACAGGAAAACACCTCTAATCGCGCCGCATGTGTGTGTGACTCCTGGGTCCGGTCGTCGAACAAGCTGCACGGTGTAACGCAAACCATCTATAGATAAAACACGTGACCGTGTTCGCACGGCCCTTGATACATCGGGATGCATGGGAGGGGCGGATCAACACTTCTTTCAGTGGGCTCCTCTTCAATTGCTAGGTTGCATTGCGCGTGTCGCTGGGGGCAGCAAACGCTTGGGGCGCGCGACGTTCACGTTCTTGCAATGTTTCATTCGTGTGAGTTTCACGAAAATAATAGAAAGCTGGTACATGGCTAAAGCACGTAAAGCCAAAAAAAATCGTAGCAACACCGGCGAGCAGGACCATTCTTCCCCCCCCAGCAAGTCGTTTTGACCTGAACAAAATTCGGCCTGAGGTAAGTGCCGAGATTGTGGCCACAAAACGAAAATCTCTCAAGCTAAGCAGCCAAGACACGGCAGAATATTGCTCCAACGCAGTGGGCCAGCCAAAAACGGATCAAGATATTCTTGTCTGCATGGGCTCGGCGCTTAGCGATCTAACAATCGTACTTCGTGCATGGCTGTGCTCCTAAGAAATAACCAACAAGCTCAACATCTCTTAGGGTTTTCGGCGTGCCACAACCAGCCTTGTTCCCGGGGGGGGGAACCCGGGGAAACACTGTTCCAACAGCCTAGAACACTCCACGTACGGTAATAAAACAGTGCGGGTTTTCTCCCCCTGGTGCATACGGCATCAACAGCACAAACGTGTGCGGCTTTCGTGCCACTAATCTCCTCTTCTCGTTTATCGACGCATGCAGTAAGAAGGCTCAGGCATGCTGCAATGCCAGAGGCGGAGCTGCGTATGAGGCATCTCCTGGCGGCAAAGGTTCCAAGCTCTCCTGGGCATCACGAAACCGCTGTGTCTCACCGCAGGAGAGATGACTTGCCGCAGCCGGAAGGACCGAATATGAGAACGGACTGTCCCCTCTTCACCTCGAAGGACAGCTTTCGGCAGATCGCTTGCTTTCTGTCCGGGGTGAAGAGCGTCAAGTCCTCTCTGGACGTTTTGCCAACAACACAGCAGCAGCAGCAGCACGGGGATGGGGGTCAGCGGCAGAGCTAGCAGGGACATTATCATCACCGCTCGCCGTCACCAATGGCATCAACCGCCGTAGCAGGAGCATCAAAAAGGAGACGGCGATCACAGCTTACAAACCGGTACAATAGGCAGCAGCAACGGCGACAACAGCAAAGCCAAGTAGCAGTAGCCACGGCAATCAACACATTAGAGACTTGAATTGGGAACAACCGAGGGGGACCACAAAGAGAGCCGGACTAAGGGATCGTCATCGAGAAACCATCGAGGGGGTCCAGGAAACTGGAAGCTCTGCCCAACAGGAACGTGACCAACGGTATTGCGAATACGTCCTAGGTTAGAGGGTGGGCACAATACTTATACTTGCTAGCCGTCGCACGAGGAAAGGCGAAGCAGCAGAAAATTCGGGGCAAAAAGAAGCACAGACACGAAACCATTCCGGGAGACACGCGAGGGAATCTTCTCCCCAAAACATGGGTTTTCGAAACGCCTTGAGAAACTCCGGGCATGTTTGCATTGCCCCGGCGGGCTTGGATTCACACAGAGCAGAACCCGAAGCTCACATTTTCAGTATCACTTCTTTCTGCCCCTTTCCGGCGGCTGAGCCTCCCCCCGTTACCACTGTAGTTATCCGCCCCCCAGCTGCTGCTCCTGCCCCGTCTCCGTTTCGTCCTCCGTTTCCGTTGCCACTCCCCTCCACCGCCTCCGTCACGTCCAGCAGCACAGCCTCTTCCTCGTCGTCGCCCTCCTCTCCTTCCCCATCGCCGTCCCTTTGCACCACAACGCCACTGCCCTTGTCATCACCGCCGTCACTCGAGGGTACCGCGATGTAGCCGTCGTCGAGGGTAGACAGGGACGTTGCTGCCGCCGTCGTGCCGCTGCTGCCGGCGGGAGGGTTGCCGCCCGGATTCTCCTCCGCCATTCTCTCCATGCACACCACCAGGAAGTGAAGGCGGTCAACCTCCGATGCCAGGCTGGCCAGGGTACGGATCTGCGTCACAATGACGCTCAGGGCCCCCTGGATCACCCGGAAGGCCATGGCCGTCTGCGGAAACCCGAGTCGTTTGACGCGGACGAAGACAGGGTACGGTTGATTCTTACAGAACATCAACCCGCGTGGACTTGGGAAGACGCGGCGGGGTTGTTTTTCATGGAGAGTACCACACGTGAGACGCGCGGGTGCCATGCACGACAAACATCACTCGACAAAGGTGACAACAACTTAGGTCAGTGCCCCGTTGGGTCACTCGGAGAGCCATAGCCGTCGACGTTTGCACGTAGAATGGGCTGGGGTATTGCGGAAATATGTGGGAGGGGAGTTGCAGGCAAACTTTGTTGCCGAATCAGACAGAAGGATTCGGCTTGTGTCGCTGTTCACGCTCAAGACAGCTGTGACCAAATCATCACGGGATTTTTCAAGTAGGAACGCCGGGGCGCCGTCTTCGCAAAAAGTAAGGTCGAGACGAAAACAATACAGAGCACACAAAAGGTGGGCGAGCTCGCGTAAATACCGCCACCCCCTTTTGGAGCATGGTTTTGGTGTCGTCCTCTGAACATCACACCTGCGAGATCACTCCGAACTCGATCTCCCCGGCGAAGTACCGCTCGGCCACGACGAGGTAAGGGAGGACCGCCGTGAGCCACATGAAGCTGTTCGAAAACACCGCCAGCTGAGCGTCGCACCACAGCCTGAGGTGGGTGTTGCCCACCACCTACATATGACCCAACCGCGCCATGCAACACAAGGCAGAACCGACGAAGGCAGCAAACCGAAACGAGGGCGGCGGTGGTGGCAACGACCATCAGAGGAAATGGCGGGGTCGTTGGCGGGCTGTAGAGACTGGGAGTGGGGGGGGGTCGTGCGAGATGAAACAACCCCCAAATAGATAGCGCCGGCGCCAAGCACACGGACAAGACGGGAAACATAAAACACTGCTGTAGACGTCGAACGCCAACACAAAAAAAAATATGTCTGCGGGCACCTTCTCGAGCAGGCCCTTGACCACTTCCTTTTCGCCCTTCTCCCCCCGGTAGAACGCGATCTCCTCCGCGTGCTCGCGGACACGCACCAGGCCGAACCTGCCACCGCCGTGACAAAAAACCCAATAAACATAGAAGCCACGGTACAGTAGAAGCACATGACAACATCACGATCGTAGCAAGGGGGCGAGGGCAGCCATCACTACGGCACCGTGATGACCATCATTCAAAGGTGGCAGTCATCTGACACCACCAGCACCCGGCTAGGCTTGACACAAAGGCGGGATTGCCCGTTCACATGCCTGCAGCAAGCACACGAAGGTGGTCTGCAAACGCCGGGAATCGGAATGGCAGCAAGTGAGCGCCCTGGATGATCACTTCATATCGCTACCACACAATGTCTTACGCGCAATTGCGACGACACCATGGGACACGTTGTCAGAGTAACGGTTACAAAGACGCCGCCATTATTTCAAAGGCACCAGGAAGCAGCCATTCAAGCTTCGTCGGAGAGCAACGGCCTCGTCGCAGACCTAGTGAACGTGTTGTCCGCAACATGGGCATTCGTTGAACTGTCTCAACATGCACCCAACACCGTACACTTGACGTTTTGTCGCTGTGTCAACCGGTTAGAACGGTCAACGCAAAATGACGTAGTCGCGCACACACACAGTTACACGTAATTGCGTTGGTCAGGCGGGTAGATATCCTGTCGCCCCGGTTGTCTAGTGGGTAACCTCGCAGCCTGCTGAGGGCCAGGTCATGGGTTCGAGTCTCGGGAGAGTGAGTTTTCTCTCACTAAATATATCCTGGTCTAGGATGAAAGCGACGCGTTGCAAAGCTCGTTGTTAGTAAACCATAATCGACTTCGTACGTCGCGAGGGAAGGGATTGCTGTACCCTTTTCGCGATAAAAGTATCTCAGGCAGGAACCGCAGGAGGGGGCCAGCCCCCCCCTCCAATGTGACCCCGGTTGGGTCGTCTAGCTAGTTGAAGTGGAGGATAGGGGCCAGAGGGGCAGACGACAGAATCCAATGCTGGGAGAAAAAAATAAATATATATATATATATATAGCGGTCACTACAAAAATAAACACACACACACACACACAAACACAACCGAACTGAGACTGACGGCTTTTCATTGGTCAGCCGGTTAGCGCGATCGATGAAATCATAAACCACAAGACGCGCGCACGCCCACCTGAAGTTCGCCTCTCGCTTGGCCCCTTCGAAGATGAGGTGCTTCAGGCGGGCGCCGAAGAGGGCGGTGGTGCTGAGGGTGCCCGCCACGGAGTATGCCACCACGAAGGCGGTGAGGCGGGGGGATATCGACAGCAGCACCCCGACAAACGAGCCCACCTTGAGCACCGACCCCACGAACACCACGACGACGTCGATGCAGTTCTTGGTAAAGGTGGAGATGTCTTCTCCGATCCTCTGGTCGGGGTTGTCCACCTGCGTTTGTTTGATCGTTCGGGTGGGCAGGGTGCCGTGTTTGGGTACTCAATTCTGTATCTGGAAGAGAGTAAACACACAATACCGCAACAGCGCTAAGCCTACAACAAAAAATCAAAAATGCGCTTACCTACCCAAATCACAGAGGATGTTCAATCTGTCGCAGCGGGGGGGGCGGGGGGGGGGGGTACTCATAGTCGTGCATGCCGTAGTCGTTAGACCATTGACCTCGCATCCCTACAAAGCCGGGACGGAGCACGCCGGGTTCTCACCGGACCAGGCTCTCACAT